GGGGGGGGGGGGGTAGGCACTGTAAAGAGATGGGAGAAGCAATCAGGGACATGGCCAAGCGGGGGTAGGCATGTCAGGGGTATGGTATGGGACAGTAGATGAGCGGAGTGACAGCGGAAATGGGGGAAATATGGAAGGAGAGACGGGAAGACGCGAGGCAAAGGAGGCGGACTACCGTCTTCCCCCGAACATAACGCACCCTCAAAATGAATGTATACAAGTTTTATTTCCGGCCAGATACTGCCAAAATGAGGGTGCGTTGTGTTCGGGGGAAGACGGTAGGAGGACGACCAGCAGGAGGAGGAAGAGGAGGGAGTGCTGGCTGCTTTTACGTGTGGTGGATGGGAGAGAGAGAGAGCGAGCGTCACTCACTGCCGACGTGTGTTGGGTTAGCTCGAAATAGGCGTATAAGGATGAATGCCCTGCAGATCGATGAACCACAGTAAGAACTGGAAAATGAAAAAAAGGAAATGGAAGATGAAAAAAAAAAAAAAAGGAAGATGAAAAAAAAAAAAGAAAAGAAGATGGAAAAAAAGAAATGGCAGGTTTTGCATGGCCCCTCTGCTCATCAAGAAAAAAAAAAGGAGAAAGGAACATGACAAATTAATGCAGCGAGTGCGATGCCTGTCATGCACTGTATATGATCAGAGTGCAGTGTGATTGTGTCGATGAGGGAGCTGTGAACGATGAACCTTCTCTTACTTAGTACGTGGCGGCACCTGATTGGTAGAGAAATGATGATGGAGTTGTGAACGGGATCCCTGTGTCATATTGCTGATGGTGGTGGTGGTGTGCCGTCATCCCCTTGGCAGGGAATTGGCAATTTACCGTGCCTGCAATTCAAAAGGCAGTAGGGGAGGAGTGTGCGGTGTGCGTCCTGCTGACCGTGGGTGCTTCCTGCTCGTTCGTTGTCTAGCAGAGTCAGGATCAGAATCATGATCCTGAACGTAGGAGCAGTCTACGTTCGTTGTCTATTATTGGTACTATGCAGAGCAACGTGCCATCAGAACGTAGACAGTCATCACGCATATGGGTGATGGTGTGAAAGACTGATTTTTTTTTTTTTTTTTTTGGGGGGGGAAACAAGGCTCCAATCTATTCATGGGGAGCAGCACGTGCTGGGAACCGGGCCCAGCGTCCCATATGAAAATTTACATATGATTTTGAAGATGGAGATACCGGGGCAGTGCTTAATATAGTAATAGGCGATCTTGAATCTACCACGGGGGAGCTGGCAATTCCCGGTGTTCAGAAGCCCCTACCGTCTTCAGCGGAATAGAACGCCCGGTCATTATAGCTGCATTTGGTGAAACTTTCAGTCTCGATACAGTGATAATGACCGGGCGTTCTATTCGGATGAAGACGGTAGAGGAAGGCCTTGCTGTTGTGCTCAGGCGTGAACGCGATGCAAGTATGGATGTGAGGGTGTCGGCGGGCAACGCTCTCACTCAGGAGATCATGATGACCCATCTGAAGTTGGTGGTTTGGCATACTAGACCATGGCATTATTCGATGTATTTATTATATAAGAAAAATTCTGAATTCATTATGTGTTGTAATTTATAATATTTTATATACATATACATATACATATACATATACATACATATATATATGGTGGCTTGGCTCATCAGTCACCGCCGATTCGCGCGAACCGGCGGTTTTTCCTTTCCACCCGTGCAACGTCCTGAGTCCGACAAGGAGCCACTCACTGAAAAGAATCACGAGCCCTGCTTCCAACCAACAGTAGTTCCATGGAGGTACCGCTTGCATGGATGCACACCAGTCCGGAATTGATTGCAAATTTGTCGTGTTGCATGGATGCCACCCCCTTTCAATCTGACCGAGGAGGAGATGTAAAGGAAAGGACAACTTTGGGAAGATCGTGTGTGTGTGTGTGTGTGTGTGTGTGTGTGCAGCGAATGCGGGGAGGTAGGTGGATTTTGAGGAAGATTAGATGTGTTGAGCAGTCACCAAAGAGAAGTTGCAGCGAGACATCTTTTTTTTTTTTTTTTTTTTTTTTTTTTGAAAGTTGCAGCGAGACTCATCTCATTCACTTGCACTTGCAGAATTGTTCCTGTGAATCATTGGCGGACGGGGGAGAAAAAAGGACAAGAAAAAAATTGGGGATTGTGACCAACTGTTTCGTACACAGTTACGTGTACACAGGGAGTTGTAAAAGTCGTTGCCCCCTTTCGTTTCTCCATTTCTCTTATTAGATAGAGAAGAGAAGAGAAGAGAAGAGAAGAGAAGAGAGGATAAAAGAAGAATAGATAATACTGGATAAGATAATCTGCCTGCTCGGCTTGTTGGTCTTCCACCCTTACTTTCTGGAATCTCATCCACATTCGTTTCCCTAATGTGCTCTTTGTTTCTCTAAGTATGCAACACTGAATGGGCCTCGCTCCACCACGCTCCACTGTCGATTCTACGCAAAAATCGACAGTGGGAGAGTGGGTCGAGAGCTATCGGACTTTTAACGTCGAGAGAAGCAGGGTCAAGACTCTACTACCCTCGAATAAAAAAAAAAAAAAAAAAAAAAAAAAGGAACTACTCTCGACTTCTTTATTCGATTTTGTACTTGTGTAGAAAAAAAAATAAAAATCGAAAAGGGACGTTGGAATCGATTTCCACCACCAGGTGCAGCTCCCCAGCGCAATGGAATAATGGAATGGAGCCATCATGATGCGGAATGGGAGGGGTGTCTTTCTGCTATCAGCACCCCTACCATACCCGCCGCCGCTGTTTAAA